AGCTTGAGACGAACCCCTGGGTTGATGAGGTCCCGCCCCACGAATGTCTCCTTGCGATTGTCCCCAGTTTTGGCGGTCTCCATGTACGGCTTGCCCACTGTCGATGAGATGATGTGGGTGGGCTTCGGCAGCCCGGCAAAGCCACATTTGCAGGAGCCAGTGCCAAGGTCCACGACCACTGCTTTGGTCACCACTAGCTTGGATTTCTCCCTGCCTGTTGTTGATTTAGTAGGTTCTTCCGGCTCTGAATGGTTACAGCGGACCCACACTGCCCGCTTCGCTGGGCCATCTTTTAAGGATGCAGTCTGGAGGACGTGTGATTGTAGGGGTGCCTGTTCACCCACTTTCTTGGCAGGCCCATCCCCGATGATTGATGCCTGAGGAGACCACATGCTATCAAGAGCCATCTTGCTCTCAGAAAGTTCCTCGATCCCACCGGCCTCAAGGCCTGAAAGGTGTATATCAGAGGGCAACTTGAGAATTTTCCCAACAATGACATCACTGATTGTGATGTAATCTGGTGACCGGGGTCTTTCTAGATAGTGGAAACCTGTGTCCCATGTTAGGGTGGATTTGGGGTGGTGTCTTAGAGGTCACTTAACCTTTTTCTAGATTTGGTAATAAACCTGATTTTAGCCAATCAGTTATTTATTGAGCACTTGCTACATGAAAGGACACTGGAAATAAAAGGCAGCTGTGGAGGAAAAAAGACAACAATCTCTGCTCTTGTAGACTTTACACTCTAGTCAGTGGGGGCTGGGGGGAGAGGCAGTGGCCAAGACAAACAGTTGTTGGAAAATGGTTAAGGGCAAAAGAGAAAAGGCAGGGAAGGGTGTTGGGGACGGTGGCCGTGGTCTGGGCTTGGGCAGGGATCCCTGAGAAGGTGACACTTGAGTGAAGACCAGAAGGAGGGGAGGGACAGTGCCACGTGTGTCGGGTGTATATTGGGAGCAGCAGGTGCAGATGTTGGAGGCGCACCTGCGACCTATGAGAGGAGGGGTCAGCAAACTAGCGCCGGCCCCCTGTGTTCGGTAAATCAGCCTTTACCCGAACACAGCCATGCTCATTTATGTACAAATAGTACTTCATGTACTATCTGCGCCTGCTTCTATGCTACAACCTCATTGCCACGAAGAGTGCACAGCCCGCCACCCTGACGATGTTGGTTATCAGGCCCTTTACAGAAAAAGTTTTTTGGCCCCTAAGTTAGAGGATCCCACTCCCCGTATGGCTGAGTGGGGACGGCAAGGAGAAGTACGTGAGGTGGGAGAAAGGGGTGGGGAGGGGGAGCAGCCCACATCCATCCTCTTGGGCCACTACTATGACTTTGGCTCTGACTCTGCATGAGGTCAGAAAGCACTAGAGACTTGCGCACAGTTGATACTACCTGATGGAGATTTTGGCAGGACTGCTTGCTGCTGTAGTGACCGTGCCAAACACTTGTGTCTCAGTTGTCCCTTATGACAGCCTGCAGAAGAATTTTTAGTCACATGTGTACACATACTCCTTCATGCGGGTCCTTGGGTCGGCGATGAAATCAGACCATACAGAGTTGCACTGATAAGAACACTGAGGTTCTTAGGTACATGGGCTCGCCTGTGGGATCCAGCCAGTGGGGGCCAAGCTTTCCTGACTGGGACTTCATCCCAGGGTTCTGGTGTGGACATACCTCATTGAGACCCAAAATGTGTCTCTAAGCACACACGGCCATCATCTCACATGCCATCTCTGAAGATAGGCACGATGGTGCTGACACCTGTCACTGTCAGGGCATCCAGAAACCAACTTTTTGTTATGCGGTCCCACGCTTTTCATGAAAGAATCAGTTGCTCCAAAGGGGGGCTTTCCCCTTTGAGGAGGTTACTGGGGATGCTCTTGGCTCTTTGTGGGGAGGTAAGAGAAGAAAAGCACCAAGTCCAGTCTTGTGACCGTCTAATGGGGGCAGTCATGCTGTCACCTCAGAGTGTCCGTTTCTTGGGTTGATGGGTAGAGGATGAGATAGCATTGAATTTTGAAAGAAGAGGAAAGTATTTCTCTATGCCTGGCTGCCTAAAAAACTGTGTACTTGCCCGTTGTTCAGTGGGGTTTGCATGGCCAACTTGGATCGTTTGACTTCGAAAGAATGTTTATGTGATAACCAAAGGCACATTTCATGTAGGGTGACCGATTTTTCCTTCTCAACCCTTGTCTTGAACTCGGACAGATGTGCAGCTGCCTAGTGCATTGTCACTGCCCTGGATTCCTGTAAAAGCCTATGCTCCTTTCCTGTGGCCGCTGTCACAAATTACCACATACTTAGTGGCTTCAAACACAGATTTATTAACTACAATTCTGGAGGTCAGAAGTCCGCATTCTCAGCATTGGGGGGCCGCATTCCTTCCCAAAGCTCTAGGTGATCATCTTTGGCCTTTTCCAGCTCCCTAGAGGCCACCTACATTCCTTGGCATGGGGCCACTTCATCTTCAAAGACCTGTCTGACTTCTGCCTCTTTCGTCCTATCTCAGACCTCACCTTCCTGTCCGGCTCTTATTAAGACCTTGATGATTAGTTCAGGGCCACCCCCATAATGCAGGGTAACCTCCCTATCTCAAACTGTTTAACTCCTACCTGCGAAGTCCCTTTTGCCGTGAAAGATAATATTCACAGATTCCAGGGATTAAAGATGGGGACATCTTTTGGGGGCCTTTATTCACCCTGCCCCTTGACCTGTGCTTCCCACTTCGCTGAGACACTAAAGCCTGCCAGGCTGGCTTGCACGTGTTCCCCCCGCCCAGGCTTACCCCTCTTTGGCTCTTTCTGTAAGTGTGGGTGGGAGAGGTGCTGTGCAGGCTTAAGGACACCCGCTCCTTCCTGTCTGTAAGGCCCAAGAGCGCAGGGACTCTTGGTCTACCCCACATCCTTCAGGCTAATGTCACTGGATGCTTTTCACTCCTTTTAGTTCACCTCTCTGGATTTCGCACGCTTGGATGCTCTCTCTTAAGTGAACCCCTTGCCCTTAGCTTCTACGTCCCGCTTTGTGTTCCTTCTCTCCTCTCGTGGGTCAGGAGACAGTTAATGGTATCAATGATGGGAGAATATGGAGACCCTTGGCACACTGCACTTCAGACCCTCAGTGCCTGGTATGCAGAAGCCCCTGTACTTGTTACTCACCATCTGAGGTACTCGTGGGCTCCCAGGGATCTCTGGTGAGGTCCCTCCTGGTTAGAGGCACCCTCAGTTGTCCAAAGTATCTCGGGTCCTATTTTCTCTGGGATCACACCTACTTTTGCTCCTCTGGCCCAAGGCTAGAAAACTGTGAGGTGATCCTTCCTGAAAGCAACTTTGAGGCCTTCCTGTAGTGGAAGAAAAAACTGGAAAGATGAGACCCAGAAACACATCTCTCCCTGAGCTGGTATTCTTGCTCTGGCTTTTGGGACACCACCTGCCCTTGATTATGGAAAGAAAGATGAACTGGGTCGCTGTGATCTTAGCAGCTATGGGAGGGAAGAAAGATAATCTAGTAAGGAAAATGCCAAAGTACAGGGTTTCTTATGAATCACCTGGAGATGTTTTGTTTTGTTTTTGAAGGAGGACGGTTTGGGATGGAGGGCCCTATGGAAACCTAATGACTTTGCCTGCTCTGGACGACAGGCCATCTTTCTTTGCTTTGGCAGAGGTGAGGGATTCATCCCTCCCTCTCCCTCACTCCCCACAGCTGGTCTAATCATCTGATGTAAATGCAGGGTTTGAGGTGAGAGGTGTCACAGGAGCAATGAGAGAAGGCCTTAAATGCTAGAGTAAGAACTTGGGTTGAATGGGAGGTAGTTGGGGAACCAACCAAGTGGATGAGATTCTACCTTCTAAACTTCTGGAGAGTCTGCTCGTCCTTCTCTTCCACACCCTCCCAGCCTGGCTTAGGTCTCCTTCAGGTCTTACAGGAATGTCTTCTGTGGCCTTGCCCCTCTACATCACAGCTAAACACAGATCTTGTCCAAATTTTCCAGCAGTCAGATCTGACCACCCCCCTGCTTAAAATCTCCGTTTGTTCCCCACCTGTCCTCCATTTAACCCAAGCTCTTACTCCAAGCGTTAGAGGCCCTCCCTAGTTGGCTCCATAAACTCTCTAGCCTCATCTGTTTTTCCAAACATTTAACTACTAGAAGTTCCCAACATTTCCTGCTCCCCCCACCCTGGCCTTTGCACAGGCTGTGCTATTTGCTTGGGATGCCGTCCCCTCCTCCTAGCTACTTGACAAATACCCACATGGTAGTTGACTTAGGATCACCTCTCTCTAGAACCTGCTGACTCCTTCCCTCCAGTAATCACTCCTTCGTGCCCCTTTGTTCTCCCAGTAGACTTCTACCTACAAACTTGTCTGCATCCGTTCTGTCTCCTTCCCACCTAGAGGGGATGCTGCTGTGGCCAGGCTTCTGGCGTCTGTCGCTGGCAAGCTGTCCTGCGCTGGACCTGCCACCAGCCCCAGTAAATGCTGAATGAAGGGATGAGGGTACTGTTGGAGCCTTCACGCTCTAAGATCTGGTGCACACAGTTGAATGAACTTGAATAAAAATACAAACATTTCAAGAGCTGTTTGCTCCTGAGCAAGTCATTTGAATTCTGAACCTTCATTTCCTCAGCTCAGCCTATACCTCTCAGGATTCTAGGGAATAATATATGTGTGGTACTTGGTACAGTGCCTGGCTTACTGTAGGGGCTCAAATATTTATTATCCTCTCAGCCAAGAAGCAGAGAAAGGAAAGGTGTTCAGTCAGTGCACAGGGTATTAGAAGCAGGGGTGGAAGGGGAGGGGGCAGAAACCTGACACCCCAGTGTGCCTGGGTTTCTAAAACTGCTGGCCGCCTGCTATGTCTTAGAGCAAAGTCAAGTTAGGTGGACAGCGGTGGGGGTGGCAGATCAAGGGCCTGCCGAGGCCAAGCCCTCCCCAGGCTGCCAGAATGGACCGGCCCTCAGTGACATCACAAATACTGAGAGGTTGCCAAGGCCCTGCTGGAGGGGGACTGACTTATTTCTCCCCCACGGAGCTCTAGGATGTGGATGTGAGAAAGGTGAGCCAAGAAGGAAGATGGCGACGAGGAGCAGCCCTAGCCCCATGCCCCTGGGCACGGCTCAGGGTGATCCTGGAGAGGCAGGAACGCTGCCAGGTTCCGATGCTGGCATCCGGGACACAGGTCTGGTCACCCCGCTGAAGATGAAGCCCAAGAAGGTGCGCAAGATCAAGGCCCTCATCATTGACCTGGGCTCCCAGTACTGTAAGTGCGGCTATGCCGGCGAGCCCAGGCCCACCTACTTCATCTCCTCCACCGTGGGCAAGCGCTACTCGGAGGCGGCTGATGCTGGCGACACCCGCAAGGAGACCTATGTGGGCCACGAGCTGCTCAACACGGAGGCGCCCCTGAAGCTGATGAACCCGCTCAAATACGGCATCGTGGTGGACTGGGACTGCGTCCAGAGCATCTGGGAGTACGTCTTCCACACGGCCATGAAGATCCTCCCTGAGGAGCATGCGGTGCTGGTCTCCGACCCCCCGCTCAGCCCCAGCAGCAACCGGGAGAAGTACGCGGAGCTCATGTTCGAGACCTTCGGCATCCCTGCCATGCATGTGACGTCCCAGTCGCTCCTGTCCATCTACTCGTACGGCAAGACCTCGGGCCTGGTGGTGGAGAGCGGGCACGGCGTGTCGCACGTGGTGCCCATCTCGGAGGGCGACGTGCTGCCGGGCCTGACCAGCCGCGCCGACTACGCCGGGAGCGACCTCACCAACTACCTGCTGCAGCTGCTCAACGAGGCCGGCCACAAGTTCACGGACGACCACCTGCACATCATCGAGCACATCAAGAAGAAGTGCTGCTACTCTGCACTCGTGCCCGAGCAGGAGCTCGACCTGTGCCTGGAGGACATGCGCGTGGACTACGAGCTCCCGGATGGCAAGCTCATCACCATCGGCCAGGAGCGGTTCCAGTGCGCCGAGATGCTCTTCAAGCCCAGCCTGGTGGGCAGCAACCATCCCGGCCTCCCCGAGCTCACAGCCGCCTGCCTGGACCACTGCCGGGAGGCGGGCTTCAAGGAGGAGATGGCCGCCAACGTGCTGCTGTGTGGCGGCGGTACCATGCTGGATGGCTTCCCCGAGCGCTTCCAGAGGGAGCTGAGCCTCCTCTGCCCCGGGGACAGCCCCGTGGTGGCTGCTGCTCCCGAGAGGAAGACCTCCGTGTGGACCGGCGGCTCCATCCTGGCCTCCCTGCAGGCCTTCCAGCAGCTCTGGGTCAGCAAGGAGGAGTTCGAGGAGAGGGGCAGCGCGGCTGTCTACAGCAAGTGCTGAGCGCCCGGGTCCCGGCGGGCGGGGCCTGGTGGGCACGCGGCCTCCGGCCACTCTGCGCATTTACAGAATTTCTCATAAAACTTCAAATGCAGTGGTTCTGGTCTAGTCTGCGTTTCTTGCTCTCGCCTGGCAGCAGGTGGGGTGTGGGGATTTGGACTCAAAGATCTCAGCACCTTTTGCTCTTCAGGGTCAAGAGTACCCAGTGGGCTGCGGGGAGGGGGTGCGCGGTGGCTCACCGACCCGTGCCCCACACCCCCCATCATGAGGGCGACATCGTCTCAGAGCCCGGAGTGTTCCATTAGCTCCCCCGAGTTCGAGACCCCACTCGACAGGCATATTGCTTGCTCACGCATGGGCCAGGAGGCAGACCAAGGCTCACGTGAAGGGGCTAGCTTGGGACCCCTAGTTCAGTGGTGCGTGGGAGGCTTAGCCAGGTGTCAGACTTCGGTCTCCCGTTTCTAGCTCTGGTCGTCACCCATCTTCTCCCTGCTGCCCGCAGCTGCTTGCTGGAGCTCCCCAGACGCTCTCACTAACCCCCACCCCCACAACCAGCCCTTTCCAAAGGTGCAGCCCGTGGGTGTGCGTCCCGATTGTGTGTGCTCTGATTGGGAGCCGCCATTTCTGCCTATCAGGGGCCCTCCCCCTGCCATCCCCAGCCCAGATGGCAGCTGTGTTTGCACTGGCAAAGCCAAGCCACTGAATCCAGAGGATGCCAAAGGAAACCAGAAAGCCCTTTGGGAACCGCGTGGTTCTCTGCTTGCTACAGACACAGGGAAACTGAGGACCAGGAGAGAGGGGCCTATGTCAGTCGTTGAGCCCAAGTCGTCAGGCCCAGGCCATGATTACTTCTAGAAAGGTAAACATGGTTGCTTTAGGGTGGGCTGCTCTAACACAAGACCACAGACCAGGTGACTTCTGAACGACAGAAATTTATTTCCGGAGGCTGTGGGAGTCCAAGCCCAGGTTGCTAGCGTGGCTGGGTTCTGGTGAAAGCCCTCTTCTGGGTTGCAGACTGCCGGCACATTGCTGTGTTCTCACTTGGCCTAAGGGATAGGGAACTCTGAGGCCTTTGTATGAAGGCACTACTCCATTTATGAGGGCTGCCCTTATGACCCAGTCAACTTCTCCAAAGCCCCACCTCATACCCTTACCTTGAGCATTAGGTTTTCAACATATGAATTGACCAAGGGGACTGGCGGGGGCCGGGGTGGGACAAACACTGAGTTTTTAGCAGTGCTTTTTAATAGCAAGTATGACCAGAATGTGGCCCTTCCCTCGGGATCACACATGGTGGTCACTCATGTTGGTAAGGAGATGAGGCCAGAGCTCCGTGTTTCTGGGGGTGGGAAGGTGGAGGTAGTATTGGAAAGCTGTAAGTAGAAAAGTGCTGGGCATGGTGGCCATTTGGTGGCTTCAGGGCTAAGGGAGAAGCTGGTGCGTCCTGTGAGATTTCAGCTCAGGGATGACGATCTGCCGAGAGGAGGGTGGCTACTTCCTCTTTCTCCAGCTCCCCTCTGCTGATGGAGACCATGACCAAGCGTCTGTGGGATCAGATACTCATGAGCTGTGGAATTTGATGAGCTACCGGATGGTGCTGAGCTGCCTCTTACCTTAGGAGTCCTGATCTGCGGCACCCTGCAGGACTGCATCTGTCCCAGGCCCGTGCTGGAGGCCACCGCCTGTGGCCTTCATTTCCTAGTGGCTGGCCATTTAGTCCCTCCCCTTTGCCCAGAACTGGGTCTCTAGCCCAGGGTGGGAGTCCCTGGGGGATGGGGACTGGCAGGGCCATGGTGCTAGACAGGGACCTCTGCTCTTTCCTGTGGGGAAGGTGATTGTGGACTGGGGGCTGCAGGTTGATGGTGCCAGGAGGCACATTTCGTTTGGCCGGCACGGTGTCTGGGTGTTTTCTGGAATGCGAATTCTTCCAGTGGGACTTGCATGCTGCAGGTTGTGCCAGTTTCTCCCACCCTGATCTCTTCACACGTACGTGCTACTGCTGCATCATTTGCTTAGACTGCTTGTGCTCCAACTTCCCTTTCCGCGATCACTGTCCCACTGCTCTCCTCGCCTGGTCCTCTCCTCCTCTCTGTGGCAGAGGCTGTAGAAACACTTCCTCCTTGGCAGGAATTTATCCAAGCCCATCACAGACGCAACAGGAGATTTAATTTTGGTGGAATACTACGAGTTAGCGATTTCCTGCTCAAAATGACCATCCAAACGTGCGCTTGTCTCCTCTCCCTCCTAGGACTACATTATAGTGATAGGAGAAGATGTTGATGTCTCATCACACTGCAAGTGAGAATGGTAGAGGGACTGCAGGAGGCCAGAGGTTTCTGCCTGATTCTGGAAGAAGGAAAGCGGATGCAGGGCAGGAAGGTTGCGGCCTGAAGCTTGCAAGGTGCTCCTGGTGGGTGAGGGTGGCCTCCTGTCCTGCAGGACAGGTAGAGAATGGGGACTTGGAAATGCCACGTAGGGGAGGATCTACCACTGAAGCGTGTGAGACAAAACAGGATGGGGAGGGGGCGGTAATGAATGGCCCCTGGGAGCACAGCCCCCCTCCCGTGTGCACAGGTAGAGGGTGAGCAGAATGGTCAGCCTCTGAGTATGAATTTCTCAGAGCTGAAGGGCTCACTCTCCGTGAAAGCAGTGCTCGTACAGGGAAGACGAGTGCATGTAGACCTGCTCATGAGCTCCGCCTCCAACCCCGAATGCGCGGTCACGCCCAGGTCTAGCTACGATGCCCCAGGTGGAACAGGTAGTTGATGCCTCCGATTCCCCCTCAACCCTTGCCCACAACATCCGTCTTCTGCCTGGGCATCACGTGCGGCCGAGGGCGGACCTCTTCTCCAGAGCCAAGGAGCGAAGCCAATCAGAGCCGCCATCTGTCTGCCGGGCTAGAGTGAGCATGGGACTCAGGGTGCCCGAGCCGTCACAGGCCGTTCGCTGGGAAGCTTGACATGCCATTGGTGTGGCCTGGAACTGCTGCGTCAACGTTTGTCACCAGGAAGCAAACTGAAGCTGGGCCGGCCTGAGCGCAGGACCCAGACGCGGGGTGCCCTGATGGGAAAGTGAGCTCAGAATGCGCCCGGGCCCGGAGCGCCCTCTACCGGCAGGCTGTTTCCATGACCGACGCTCTCGCCCTGCGCCTCTGGCACGTGGGACCCGGAGCGCTCCGCTTCAGTTTCCTTCTGGGTAGTGGTACTCCTCCAGGCTGGTTTGCGGGAGGAGGGGTTGGAGAGGGCTCTTACAATGGAAATTTTAGGACCAACACTTTATTTCCCATCAAATCGGCTACCACACATGACTTTTTCTTAAGATTTAAGAGAGTGTCAGGCTAACACACAATGCTGAAATGCAGAAACCTAAGAGTGTTTACTGGCCAGTGTCCTATATTATTTGGTGTCCATATTTGTCCCCGAGGTTAAAGGTGGAGCTCCTTAAAAGCAGGAACTTTGACTTTCTTATTTTAGCTTTCTGCAACCCCAGTGCTGGTCGCGACTCCTGACGGAGATAACTTACTCCCAGCCTATGAGGTAGAAGTTACAAGTATTTACCCCATTTCACAGATGAGGACACTAGAGGCTGGAGAGATTACAAAATCTTGTCCAAATTCACCTGCCTGATTAATCAGTCTTGTGTTAAATGGAAGCTTTGTGATTCCAAAATGCCTCCTTTGCCTTTGTTTCCTACCCTCCTGTAAATTACCAATTTCTTTAACCAAAGAAAAAAAAAGTCATAAAAACTGTTTCAAGTAGTGAACAACACATACAAAGTAATGAACAACAGCAAATATGATGGAATTTCATGATGAGGTACGAAAGTGAAGAATGCTGATCTTTTAGTGAGGGAGGGAATTCTCTTGCCTGAGATAGCCAGAGGCATAAATCAACAAGTACTAGAGTGACCTCACGTGGTAAAATTCTACTCTTTGGATACAGCAGGTGGTCTCTCATGCTCACTGCCTGTCTGGGCAGCCTGATCTTTTGTCCCCAGTGGTTATTACCAAGTTTGCGTTAAGAGTTTTCTGCCTAAGATGGGCTTATTAAGCAATATACTGGGTTTTTTTTTTTAAGATTTTATTTACTTATTTATTTGATAGAGAGAGAACATGAACAGGGGGAAGGGCTGAGGGAGAGGGAGAGGGAGCAGCAGGCTCTCTGTTGACCAGGGAGACTGACGGGAGACTCAATCCCAGGACCCTAGCCCAGATCGTGACCTGAGGCGAAGGCAGTCACTTAATGGACTGAGCCACCCAGGTGCTCCGGCAATGAACTTTATTACAATACAAACTATTAATGGTGTTCTACTTGACATTAGGTGGTTTTTTTGTTTGGTCCTACATTTTCCTGGAATGCAGTATTTCTTAACCCGTGGGGAGAGGGAGTGCGGGCCCTTGGTTATGCTGGAGTTAGCTCTTAGGATGGGCTGTGAGAGCCCATTGTTAGACTAGTCAGGAATTTTGCTAGCCAAACTAAATTGTTGATTTGTGTTGGTGGCTTGAATTGGACCTGGTGGGTGTATTGGCCCCCACAGAAATCAGCAGGTGTTACAGATCAGGGTCCCCGGCCCACCACAGAGAGTTTGTTTAAGGGGGGGAAGCAGGAAGGTGGGAGAGAAATGGTGGGCAGAACTGTCTAGGGAGCTAGTTCCAAAAAACAAATAACAAAACTGGTGTGGACCATCCTCCTAGATTGAATCAGTAGATATGGGGAAGCCCCTTGGGGCCTGCAAGCAAGAAGTTCCCCCTGGTAATTCTAGGAGACCCTCATGTTAAAGATGCTGCTCAGAAGAGTGCAGGGCACGTAGTAAGCACAGCGTCAGTGTTCAGAAGTCAGTCAGAAGCTGTGGCCAAGCGTGGGACAGCTGAAGGTGCTGGGTGTCTGAGATGCTGCTCCTTTGGGTCATAACGTTTCTCATTACCTGTTTAAGACCCAGTCTTCCTCCAAGGCACAGCCCCCTGTCCGCTCCCTTGGAAGGCGTTCCCCGACACATTGGGCAGGGAGCTTCCTCCCTGAACCCCTTTGCAGTGCTGTGAGTTTGCAGGTCTGCCATGGCTTTTGTGTGTGTGTGTGTGTGTGTGTGTGTGTGTGTGTA